GTCCCGTGCGTCGTTGTGTGGCTCCAGGCGGCAACGCCAGGGAAGTGCCATGTGACAATAATGAAATGATCAGGATAATAAACTATGGTGGGCGATTTGCTATTAATAATAATTATATTTGGCGACTTTTAAGAAATATGCACCAGCCCGTAATGACGTTTGAAGCCGAATCGTATTTGTCGTGGGAGTGTCATCGGCGTGCTCCCCAATGCGAGGTCCCCAATGACGTCCCCTGCTATATCCAGTTAAGAATTTTGTCGTTTCCACGCTCAGCGCGCGCTCACGCTGGCGTGAGCGCGGAGGGCGAGAGGGGAAGCGGGGGGCGAAGAGGGTTAGCAGTCCTTCCGCCGCTGCCTCCCCGCACCCTGCCCCTGGCCCGCCTCACGCCGGCGTGAGCGCGCGCTGCGCTAAGCGTGGAAACGACCAATTCTTAACTGGATATAGCACCCGGGAGCCCGGACGACATCGGCACTACCAGATTTGGACTCAGCGTGCGAGAAAACCCCCAAACACGATATTTCAGTCGTCCTGGTCGTTCCGAGGTTGACGGTCGGCCAAACCGTGTCTTATTTGAACAGCCCCAGAGGCCTGTCCAAGCGGACGACCTCCCCCCAGGTCAGAAGGCGGAAGAAGGATTTTAATTTACCAGAATAGTCTTTTGCGGTATTTTACGGATTCTTAGCAGATGATACATTAAAATCCTTGTGACTAAACGTAAAGAATATGTGAGATGATACGTAGAGGTGAGGTGAGGTGAGTGCAAGAACACAGACCTATTTTTAAATGTAATGGTTCACAAGGAGACGATAGCGCCTGCAGCGGACTGGGTAGGCCAACCCGTCAAGCAGCTGTGCACAGACGGCGGCAGGCCCAGTGCGCCCTCACGAATGTTTCTTCGCTTAGCTCCGTCACGCACGCACCGCCCAGTTTCGACCCGAATTTCTAATAGGTTTGGTTTGGGAAAGACAATAAGTGGATTGGTCTTGTTTAGTATTATTTATATAATTTATTTGTCATTTTGAAGAAAACACACCCTTTTTCAGCACCACAATATCACATGTAGAATTTGTTTCTATAGCTAAGATTTCCTTAAAATTTAAGCATCACAACTTAACCTAGTATATGTCTTACTTAATGTAGGAACACACATGTTGTTTTCTTTTTTTTAAAAATTTTTGAACAGAATAAATACATTTTAATTTATCCAGCAAGTCGTGAAGCCTAAGATGCAAACTTCATTTTAAGCAATCCATAATCAGAAAAGTGTCTATGTGCCAGCACATAGCAGATTTTCTAAATGCTACAGATATAAAACAACAGTTGGGTAAGAAACAAGATTTTCTGTAGCGACAAGTTTGTTTTGAAAGGTGGTGAAATAGTTTAAAACAATCTAGATGATTGGGTAGATGCAACACTAGCGTAGCTCATGGCACATAAAGGCAGACTCTATTTTAGCAGGAGAAAATTTCCTGACAGACAAAAGTTCTAGATAGATGATGCTCATCCAAGTGTCTGATAATCGTTTAAAGTCAGCCCACAAATATAGTTATTGATGGCATACTTCGCCTAGCCACATCTTTCTTTGATTAATAAAAAGAGAGAGTAGCATAACATGCATTTCTAAGCCCAGGAGGACCCTTGAGCTTCACAGCCATTTTCATCTAAACCTACGTAAGAATTGATCTCAACCAAAGTTCTCAAAGTGGTGGATAAAGTATGGTAACTTTCGCCCCTTGTTGACCTCTTCGCATGCTGCCATTATGCTCTTCGTAAGAGGACGAGGCCCACAACTGAAAACGCCAATTTTGCTCACCTGGAATAGAAAATAGCAGATAAGAGAGCCCTCCCCCATGAAAGGTTAAGTCAATACTTTCAAGTACCGCAGTTTTATTATAGCTTACATAGCTGTGCTTCTTCTGCACAAATTTGAGGAATGAGGACATGTCAGGTCGTCCGAAGTGGTTCACTGCCTTCAGACCGGTGAACATACTTGTCTTCGACAACCTCTGGAAGTGGTTCTCGCAAATATACTGTAACGGGAGCATAGTTTGGTAGTTAGAGGTGGTTGTGCGCCTGCGATGCGCAGGATAGACAGTCCCGCCGAGCGAGCGTGTGACTTTGGTTGCCTATACACTCACCAGCATGGTAGTGCGCAGGTCGAACTTATGGAAGAACTGCGTGATGAAGATGTGGATCTCCAGAACGTTCGTTACGTCCTTGCGCTCCACGTCCCGCAATACCTCGATGAACCACTCGAAGTGACGGTGCGACGGGCAGATCCACAAGAAGTAAACCTTCTTGCAGGCGACGCCGGAGTAACGATTGGTTGAGGTTCCGAACACGAGGTCGTTGAGGATGGACGCGTACGGGGTGACGCCTATGCCTCCTCCAACCATGACCGCCACCTCGAACTTGTACCAGTCCTGGTTGCCGCCGCCGAAGGGGCCCTCTAGGCGTATCTAGAAAAGGGGACGTTTCGTTGTGAAGTGAGCAGTGAGCACAGTGGCGAGATATTGACAACAGGCCGGCTAGCCCTCCACGGCTTACTTTGGGGTGGTCCTCCTCTGGGTTGAAGTTGCAGGGGTCAAAGTAGTTCCTCAGTTTCCAGGTCCAGGGTCCCTGCGCCTTAATGTGGCAGGACAAGAAGTTCTCGTGCGGTGCGGAGGTGAGCGTAAACGAGTGGAACTCCTCGGCGCGGAAGGCGGTGCAGGCCAGCCGCACCCACTGGCCCGACAGGTACTTGAAGTTGGGTGGTCGGTAGAACTTGACCTTGATCACGTCGGAGGGCAGGAGCTCTGTCTCGATCACATCCAGTGCCATGTACTTCGTGCGCAGACTGACCACCTGAAAGTAATCAAAGCGTCAGAGAAAGAAATTCAGCGAAACATCCGTTGCCGTTCCACCCAGCCTCGCAGCACTTACCTTGTCCAGAGTGTACACGATGCCGGGGCCGATGAAGTAGATCCAGAAGCGCGGCACGCCGGTGAGCCTGGCCAAGCCGTGTATCAGACAGAGGACGTAAAGCAGCACGTACAGGCTGTGCGCCGACCAGAAGAACTTGTACGCCTTCTTGCGTATGATGGGATGCGCGAACACGAAGATGACGATCATGACGACGAACAGCATGACGCCCGTCAGGCCGGTGATGGTCTGGAAGAGCCAGAAGGTGATGCCCGGCTTGTAGTCGGACGGGAAGTGCACCTCGCTGGTGAGGCAGTGCAGGTGGTCGAGGGGCTGCGTGGACACGTGGTAGAAGTTGACAATGTGGCCGACCGTGTGCAGCAGCGAGAAGAAGAGCGCCGTGCACGCCGCGATCTTGTGGAACTGGATGTGGGCGTCGAGCGGGATGTACTGCTGGATGGAGAACTCCTTGAGCTTGGTGAGCAGGTTGCGCGACATGGTGAGCAGCAGCAGCGAGTAGCAGAAGGAGAGCGAGGCCGCGGAGCCCCTGGTGATGGCGATGCCGACGCCCATGATGTGCCGCAGGTCCGTGTGCTCGGCCAGGAAAGAGTAGTCTGCGCAAAGATCAAATCCATTAGCGCTCCCGTGTGGGAGTGGGTGGAGGAACTGCTCCTCGTACCATAGAACCAGGGTTCGTATCCCCACTAGGGTCTTTTCTTGAGAACACTTACGGATGAATCGCTCGACGAAGAGCACGATGGTGATAACGTAGAAGAGGAGGAGGTAGAAGATGTTCTGCCGGTTCTCCTCCAGGAAGGTGGTGATGCAGTCCCACTTCCGCAGCAACCAGTGTCGCCGCTCGTCGTGCATGGGCTCGATGTGGAAGCTCGTCATTCTGTGAAAGGGAGAGAGGGATATAATATGGAGTGGGGTGATGGCGGCAGGGGATTAACGGGTTGAACGGCGGTGTCACATTGCCTTCGACCCCAGCACAGCAGCCACTGCCTGGACTTACCTCGCTACGTTAGTGGACGTGTCCAGGAAATTCTGCTTGGCGCCTTTGCAGTCGAGACCGATGGCGACGAAGTCACCCTTGTACTCCTTCATCATGAGCTTGAAGTCGTTGTATGTGAGGTAGTCTTTGTGCTGCAGCCCGGCGTCCTGGAGGGAGGAAGAGGAGAGACAGTGAGACAGGGATGATCCTTAAAAAGTAGCGACGCTGCACGGGGCCCACGCGCACCTGGAACATGCCGTCGATGAGTTCGGTGACCTGCTGGTCCGACA